GTTCTGCAGTCAGAGATGTTACCATTGAGTTATTCGAGCCCGAGACCAAGTAGACGCATGACGCTAGTTACTTGCTACCTTGGTCCAACCAAACAATCCAATGAAGTTAATCTCCAGCTCGAATGGCTCAATGGTAACGTCTCTGACAGCAGAACTCGGTGACTAGGGTTCAGGTCTACTAAGAAACACCAATACACCTCACTAAAGACTGTCAGAAATGCCAAATATATATCACAATGGTTACAAGTCAAAGGCGTATGTATAGATGAATATAGGATGTTAAACGCAGTGCAAAACTACTATTACTCGCATTTTATTACCATCAAAATATACTCTTCATAATTTAGTGATTGAGTCATTGAGTAAATTTTTTTAAAAAGGAATGAAATAATCGTTTAAAAATCTTTTGTACAATGAATGAAAGAATGAATGAATGAATGGATGGATGGATTCCGTTCTTTTATTTTAATTTTCATCATATAGTTACACCCATTGAAACTTTTCAAGGTTGCTGAAAATTGCAATATATAAACAATTACAAATAATAAACGAATAATTTATAATCATCATTAAATAAAATAGAATATAACAACTTTATTGAAAGTTTAGTTGACTGAAATTTTAAAAAATAAAACTCTTTTTTTACTCCGTGACTTTGAGTAGTTCAAAATTACAAAGGGATTTATGAGAAAGATGCATAGAATGTCAGGCACCATACAGAATCTATCACAAACTAATTGGTGATGATGATGATAATAATAAAAGGTGTTTAAAGGTTTTCAAATGTCTCTTTCCACACCCCGATGCATCCACATGTAAAGGTTATCATCACTTTGTTCCACCCTGAGTTTATCCTCACACACCCAAACACCCACATAAGTTCGGTTTATGGGTTTTCCCTAAGGATTTGAATTAATTGTAGGCGTGAGATTTCATCACGAACTTACATCAAATAGAGAGAGAGAGAGATCAGTGAAAACCACTAGGGACCGTTTGACAGGTGTTTCATCCTAGTTTGAGACTCTTCATCAGTACCCATCCACGACCCCATCAGGCATCGAGCCAGGACCCTCGGGTTAAATATTCAGCCACTTAGGTTGGAATTCAGTAACTTCTGAATTCTAGATCTTCTATAATTGGTTTGTAAGGATTAGTTATGTTTTAACGAGTTGATCACGGATTGAAATCAGTTGGAGAACCATTGAAAACCAGGGAGTACTACACAGGTGTTTCATTCTAGCTAGAGAATCATCGGCAGTATGCAACCACCGCCAGGGTTTGAATCCAGAACCTTCTGGTTACAAGGCAATCTCGTATACCATTCAGCCACTGGGACCCGATTCAATGGCTAACCCATGAATTCTAACTTCTACCAATTCGTGATTTAGCGCGACTCCAACCAATGTCGTCGGTGGGACATCCATCCTCTAGATGTGCTAATTCGTAATATTTTGTCCCCTCTAACGATCTTCGTCTTGTAACCTGCAGTTCCCAAGTTCGAATCCTTTAGAATTTGCGAGTGTGCACTGCTGAAGAGTTTCAAGTTGCTAGAATATATGATTGGCCAGTGCTTTCTGGTTATCGTGACTTCTCTAACTGACTTTGGTTCATGATGAATTACTCACTGAAACTCACATTTCTTTCTAGTAAAGATATAGGGAGCTAATAAGTAAAACTATCACCAGATATATATATGTTTTACTGAAACGGGTTCTTGGTCCCCCGGTACCGCTCGTAGTCTACGGCAGCTATCTAACTTCTGCCAATTCACGACATAGCGCGACCGCTAGCCAATGTCTTCGGCGAGTATTTGTCCTCACACCCGACCAGCTGCACCCTACTAGTCACGACTTCCCACTGGAACCCAGGTAACTACCTACCTGAATATTTAAATTTACTGAATAGAAAGTCTTGATCAATCTAGGCTATCTTCGTCTCACTCAGTTACAAATAAATTTGTGGATTTTTTACCCTACTGTTATTATTTCTGTTTCTGAAATGAACCTGTTTTCTAAAATCTCAAATCATATTTATATAAGTTTGAGAGATCAATTTATATTGTAACCTGTCTTCACCTTACTTATGTTTACTGTTTGTTTGACACATAGGTAAACGAGGGATAATTGTGGATGTTTTGCTTTGTGCTTAGCTTTTGTAAAGACAACTGACAAACACCTATGATTTTTGTAGATGAGATATTAGTAGGTGCTTATGATAAATTTTATTGAACAACTTTGACAGGTTACAAGATTTCATCATCGGGTGACATCTCAGTTAGAAAACCATTAGAGCCAGTGAGCCACCGAGACCCGATCCAGTGGTCCATGAATTCCAACTCCTGTCAATTTACCAAATAGCTTGATCGGGTGCTAGTGGCTAAATGGTCTACAAGCTTGCCTTGTAACCAACAGGTCCTGGGTTCGAACCCTGGAGGCGGGTGAGTACTGATGAAGGGTCGCAAAACATGACGAAACAGCTGTCTGTTCAGTGCTCCCAGGTTTTCCAATGGTTCTCTAACTTATGTCTGCTCGTGATAAAATCCTGTAACCAATCCGATTAAATCCCTGAAAACTAGCACATGAACAGTTTTGATGGACATATGACACCTTTTACTTAGTGTGAGATGGTTTTAGGCTGCTGGTAGGAGGCATTTGACAAATTTAGTGTTTGATTGAATTTCTTTAGCAACAAAGAAGTATCTCATGTCCTCCCCTTGGACCTGTGCCCCTCAATGCTGAATTCACAGATACTATTATACAGCTCTTCCGGCTCACAATTGACCTCCTGATTAATCATACGGGGCGACCCATTATCAGCTGTCTCTAATCATCTAATATCGATTTAAAGTGCATCACCAGCCAGATAGCCCGATGACCATATTGCAAACTTGACTGACAGAATTTAGTCTTCACCAACACCAAGGATTAGATGTATGATGGTGGTCTCTCTTCAGTATCCAGTCAATCTTCTTATTTTAATGATCTTTACTGACATGAAAATTATTCACCGTATCCAATGTAATCAATTCCGATCTTTTAGCGAATGATGAGTTCGGTGAGTTGAAAGCAACTGTTTCACCATATTCGGGGAACATCGTCACTTCAAACATGCATTTAAACTACTGTCTCATCTGATAATCAAGATGATGTGCCACTGAAGTTGATGCTATAAACCCATCTCAACTTGTTTTCGTATTGATGCTTTCTATGACCTAATATACGCTTGAATAAAGCAAGAAAATTGGGGTATTTTTTTTATAAAATAAGATGGTACCATTGATTATTTTGTGGAGTTCTCATTAGCTGCATAGAGCCTAAAGAAATTATTAACTTTATGTACAGAACAATTTCAAGCTACCTGCAAATATCACATCACGACAGTTGACAGGAGACGTGGAACTTAATCAGAAATTACACTTACACAGGTTATACACAGAAGATTCAAGTTTAAAAAAAATATAAGGGATTGGATCCAATGTTGAATGATTTGAGTAATAAAGCGAAGAGGTGCATGGAATGATGAGTAACTAATGAGTTGAGTTACAGTATGAAGAGTTCAACTCAGATCATAGAAACAAGAGACAAGCAAAGTTAAGTTGTAGTAGAGGCTGGAGCATTCAAAGCCAAATCTTGAGTAGTCGAATAAAAGAGAGCATAAAGACATCCAGTTAACAGGGCAAAGGAAGACTGGTGTAAATGCTTCTTTCTGGAGCATACAAATGGAGGTGTAGTGAGTGTGACAGAAACTGCTTTGGAAAACTTGATGAGAACTCAACTATTTTGACTAATAATAATTTCAAAGGATTTCATGTTGTCCACTTTATGACCAGTATTCATAGGATGTCTGGCGGTAGCCTTATTGAAAGCATTTGTTCCTTTGAGGTGTAGGTTTCTTGGTACACCTTCAGAAAGTTGGAGGTGTGGCCTTCTTCCTGTCCTCCCAATGTAAGTGCTATAGCAGATACATTTAAATTTATGTAGACGGAGTTTATATGTGAAGGGTATCTGTCGACATTTTTTATTGCATCAAAGAACATGTTGTCCGATAAACAGAAACCAACTTAGCTGTAGGATAGGTTCCGGTTAGTGAGATATTCAATGTTCTGTTGGCTGTTTCCACAACTTTTGATGACGTGATATGTAAGCTGTTGGTCAGTAAATTAATCTAGATTATTAAATCTATCGATTTAGGATTAACCAGAATACTCAATTATTAAAATCACAACAGCGGATTCAACATTTCCACTATTCAGGCTTTGTATTAGTTGATAATCTAATTGATCTCGATAGTTTTAGACATACTTTAAGATAAAGGATGAATTACGTTAGCCTTTCAATAGGGGATATTTGTTTTCGAGTATAAGAATGAAGAAGATATCGATGCAAAATACGCATAGTCATAGACTTGTCTCGCTTAGAAGATGTGGCTTTTCAACAGTACATTATTAGGCGGTGAATGTAGAGAAAACTTAGCGCATAACTGCAGTGCTCATCATTGAACGAGGACACCTCAGCTGACTAGCTTCCCAAGGGCTTTCACTAGCCCGCGTCACTCCGCCTCTCCGATTTTATTGCCATTCACTGAAGTTTCTGTGGCGATTAGTATAACTTTCCAGGTTATGGTAGCCAACTCTACGCCCAACCCCCCTCATTTTTTGTGTTTTTTTGGGGGGGCCGGTTAAAAAACTGGCAAACTAGTAAACCAAACTAAGTTTGACACAGTCCCAACGTAACATAGGACTTTGAACCAGAACTATGAAGTTTCGGTAGCAGTGGTGTTTAGTTTTTCAGGATGGGGTGTGTATACTCAAACATACCCTCTATATACCAGTCTTATTACTGGCTTAGTGAGGTAAAGGAGTGCGCCGGTGGCCGGGAGTCGAACCCTGAACTATCTGCGTAGTTGGCGGGTATTCTACCGCTGTGCCACTGACGCACACAATAACGTTATCATTGGTGATAAACTTTACTTACTAATTTGATACATTTGCTTTATTTCAGATGTTACCGTCGACGAAAAATGTATCGTGAAGGACCGAATAAATTAATTATTTATCCAGACGATGTTGTATTTATGAAAGCTAATAGAGCAGTTAAGCATGCAACACCTGTAAGTTGTTTGACACGTAATGTCAGAGTTTCATTTTATGTTTGCTAAATGTTAAAATTCCCTGAGATTTTCCTGTAGGCTGACGATGAGCAATTGAACTGCAGTTATTTAAATCACTTTACAGCTCGTTTTGTATTTGTCATCTGCTGAACGTTAATGTGTTGTATTCATATGCATACTCCTTAGACCGATTAGGTAATACAATAATAGTCATGTATTCGTTCTATGATAACTGATGTTTATAGCCTTTTGGTTCATGTGCTCTAAGTTATATAAAGATGTGGTTTGTTTAAAGGAATTTTACAGTCCTCGTAATTATGAAGTCATTCCGTCCACTTCAGCGGAAGGCGTTCGAAAACTACATCTCACAGTCACATATATCCACGCATAAGAGATACATAAGACAATGAATAAACCGAAGAATACCAAAATAAGCACTATGACGACAAATAATAATAACAACGAAATCACTTTGTTGTAAACAGTAAAAGTTATACAGAATGGAATTTTCAAAGTTTGTACTTATTCCGACAATTTAGCTCCCTTTATAAATATATAAATACGTAAAATCGTAAAAATAATAAAGTCTGAAAAACTGAAAGCTAATGGAATACAATGAATACTAAATAATTACTATACGTAATAGTAACTCTAGTTGTAAACTGTTTTATTCCCTTACATTCCCAGTGGAACATAAGGCTTCAAGCTAGAGGCTTGAAGTTTCGGTAGCTGTGGTGTTTATTTTTACGGGATGGAGTTGCTAGCCAGCTTCATGCCCAACCTTCCGTCTTTACCGGACTTACTACTGACTTAGTGAGGTAAAGGAGTGCGTCGGTGGAGGGGGATTGAACCCTGAAGGACCTGCGTGGTTAGTGAGCATTCTACCACCGTGACACGGACACCTAAATGTAATTTATTATGTACTCGTCGCCAAATTATTGTTATGTACTGGTCGAGAATTTAATAGTCCTGACGCAAGAAAGACGGAAATCAGAAGACCACTGGGTTTGCGATGATACTTCTAGTTTCCAAAGCACCAGGAGAATCAATGTCACACAAGAGTGTGACAGCAAAAATATAAGAATGTCCGAACAAATGTGTGAACACAAGTGTGAGAGCGAATATTCAAAATGAACAAATCAATAGACAGTCTTAACATGATTGGCTAATTATAATGGAATATCGATCCATATATACATAGCAAAATATATCAGACTGTCAAACAAACACAATTTATGTGGATGCATGTCACCAAGACCAGACTTTCAAACAAACACACATATTATATGGATATATATATCATAATTTGTTGTTAATTTATTGATTTAAAATGTCTATAAGTTCTTCTTTGACATTTGACTCGTCCTTCACACAAAACCCGTGCTAAATATGGAGTGATTGTGTGTTTATATTTTTTTCTGTACAAACATAAATTCTTATGAAATTTCTCCTAGTTTTACTCGGGGATTTATAAGGAAAAAGTTGAGAATAAAGAGAATGTGCAGTATCAGACAAGATGACTTTAGCTCAGTACTTGGGAGAATTAAAGTACCTATCAACGACAATGTCAGATAATTCAGTCAGAGGTACACCAATAAACCCGCTTACAGCCTTCAGTATTCTACAAAATATGACATAGTCTTTTATGGGAAAGCCCAGGGAGGAAGGCGGGTGGAACAATACAGAACAAGAATTGGTAGAATACATGGATTAACAAATTATGTGAGAGAAGAGGTTCCGTTATACCAGCAGAAAGTCTTAATTTCCTTACATAATAAATTGAATGAAAGAATTTCTCAAAAATCAACAAGATATAATATCACTACCAAGAATTTGAAGAGAAACTAATACCATGATAGTCAATATTCAGTTTACTGATATTACAAAAATCACGAGACTGAAACAGTCAACACGAGTCCTGTTAACGTCTGAGACTAAAGTTAACAGTATGACATTTTGATGTGGTTGTGTTCTCAGAGCTGGATAGTTAATTTGCGAAGCTTTCACCGCCCGACTAGGCGACATCTTCAGTGCATACTTCAATTTGTTGAAGTGAGCTTTCAGATTTCTCCATGAGTTTATTAGTCATCTCTCCTGGTGACCTTGGACGTGATTGGTTGTTTTGGTGTGTATTCACACCCTCTGAGTTACTTGTATTGGAAGTGATTGTTTCTTTGACTTGAACTTTGACCCTTTGTTTAAGAAAGAAACCTCACACACAAAGGGTCAAAGTTCAAGTCAAAGAAACAAGGACTTCCAATACAAGTAACTCAGAAGGTGTGAATACACACTAAAACAACCAATCATATCCAAGATCACCGACCAGGAGAGATGATTAATAGACTCGTGGAGAAATCTGAAAGCTCACTTCAAACTGAAGTGTGCGCAGAATATGTCAGCCAGTAGGGTGATGAAAGCTTCGCAAATCAACCATCCAGCTCAGAGAAAACTGTGGGGGACTAATATTAGAGTTCACTAACATTCCAAATATAAAAGTAATAATCCAAGTCAGTGGAGTGTTAAATCACAATATATTACCAAAAATACAGTGACGAGTTATAGCAACAAAAAGGATTACTTGGTTATAAAGTATAAGTCCTCGGCTACAAATTAATTATATAATCCACAGGCACGTTAACTGTTTGGACTGCGTCTGCTGTAGCTGCTGTGTTCCGGTTGTAGAAATGTCTTCGGTTGAAAGTAGTAGGCTCCTACAATAAATCCGAAGTATACAACACGGTGTGAGTGGAGCAAGTAAGCAGAAGGGACCAGGGAGAAGACGAAGTCTCCAACAGCAGAGTGTATTTTTCAATTGTACACGGAAGTTATGTATATTTCAACAAGAAGCGTTTTAAACAAAAATTATGTACAATATCTCGAATTTATACAAGTAACCAAAAAGTGTACAATCACATTGTTACGTACTCAACACGGCTCCCCCCTAGAGGTCCGGAGAGACAACCGGGAAATGATAAGTAAAACTATGAAGTAAATAATAATAGTAATAGCAACTTTTGGATAAAAATAGGGATATATTACAACATGCATAAACGCGAGAAGGTATGTGAGTCATGTAAAGTCTGAAAGCATATACAATTGGTTCAGCAATAAAAATTGAAAGAGAAAGTCATGTCACTTAAATTTGCACTAACCATGAACATAGATTTTTAATGTATAAAGAAAAATATGTAAATACACAGTAATTAAGGAGGGGAAAGAAACATTAAAAAAATATGGATTAAAGATCAATAGTTTTTGGAAAGGACACTACCTGTTTTTTCGGTGAGGTACATATAAATAAATAATAGTGATAGTAACATCAAAGTTTACGACGAAATACTAACCGTCATGATGATAATGTCTAAACGAAAAAGATAATAATAATTTTTAATTATTTTTCTTTTGTTAGTCCTCAAAATGAACGTAGCGAGCCGGTTTACTGATTTGCCGACCACTACGTGTGTGATATGGAGGGAGGATAAGACTTGGTGCCGGTGGAGGGGATTCGGATGTTTGATTATTTGATTGCGCAGCTGCCGATGTAGATTCGAAGTCGTTGTCGGTGTATGCGGGTTTGATTCGATCAATTGAAACAGTCTCTCGTCTTCCATTCTTGTTCACTGTAAAGTGTTTGTCTGAACGTTTAATAACTTGAAAGGGTCCTTCGTATGGAGGTTGCAATCCTTTTCTGATGGCGTCGACTCGAATGAAGACGAATTTGCAAGTTTGTAGATGTTTGTTGATCTGATCTCTTCGGGGAGATTGTCGAGGTGCTGTTGGTTGAAGTTGAAGCATTTGTCTAGTTAATCGGTTAGTGAAGTCGGCAATGTTCACGTCTGTGGAATCGGCTGAGGGGACTAGCTGTCCAGGCAAGGTTAGGTTGGTGCCATAGACAAGTTGAGCCGGTGTACATCCTAAATCTTCTTTGATAGTAGAACGGATACCAAGTAAAATCAAAGGTAAGTATTCACTCCACTTAGATGTATCATTCTGCGCCATCAGGGAGCTTTTCAGTTGTCTGTGGAATCTTTCCACTAGACCATTCGCTGCCGGATGATAGGCTGTTGTGGAGATATGTTTCACTCCCAGAAGTCTCGTCAGTTCGCGAAAGAGTGTCGATTGGAATTGAGGACCGCGGTCGGATGTAATAGTAGTTGGTACACCGTAGTTTGACACCCAACGGTCGAGAAAAACTAAAGCAACGTTTTCAGCAGATATGTCGTTTAAGGGGCATGCAATAGCCCAACGAGTAAATCTATCAATCGCTGTCAGGATATGTGTATATCCCCTTGATGTTGGCAATGGTCCCACGATATCTATATGGATATGCTGAAATCTCCTTTCGGGTAATTTAAACGTCTTCGGGGTTGTAATAGTGTGGCGGTGTACTTTGGAGCATTGGCATTGGATACATTCTCGTGCCCATCTCCGAATGTCAGAGTTCATTTTAGGCCACACGAAGCGTTCGCCGATCAGCCTGACCGTGGCGCGTACTCCAGGGTGGGAAAGCGAATGTAAATGTTCGAACAATGCTTTTCGGCAACTGAGAGGGACAAATGGACGATTAGTGCCGGTAGATACATCGCAGACTATGGTTGCATCCGATAAGGGGATAGGCACATCTTTGAGTTGTAAGGAAGAGTTTCTGCGGCAGGTTTGGAGTTCAACGTCATCTTTTTGTAATTGAGCCATACGATCAAGACTGATGTCTACCGACGTTTGGAGCTGGTTAATGTCACTTCTTGAAAGAGAATCGGCTACCACGTTCGCATCCCCTTTGATGTACTGAATGTCGGTTGAAAATTGGGAGATATAATCCAACTGTCTGGCTTCTCTAGGGGAGTGTTTATCAAGTGAAGTAGTGAAAGCATGACACAGGGGCTTGTGGTCAGTAAAAATAGTGAAATGCCGGCCCTGTAGTAAGTAACTGAAATGCTTCACTGCAAGATATATGGCCAGCAATTCTCTCCCAAAAGTGCTGTATCGTGTCTGAGCCGGTT